CGAAAACAACTCTCAGTTTAGTCAAAGTACTTGATTCCTTTAACATGGCATGATGAGGCATGTAACACGTAGAATCAATAAAAATCTCTCCCTCAGGCACTCCCTCCATATTTATCAGCTCAAGGTATTCTCTCATATTATACTGTTCATATATCTGAGGCCTTTTTAAAAGTGAATTTTCTAAAGATTGGAATCTACGCATAGCTAATTGTCTCAAATCTCCAAGCTGAGAAGGCGGAGAATGAAATGGTAATTTCACAGAATATACCCCACTTTCCTCTCTTGTAAATGTAGATTTGAATTTTTTGATTTGAAATGTAGATTTGATTTTGAGAAATGTAATCTTCACATGCTTTCACCGATTTGGTAAGCATGTCAAACGTATGTGCAGCATCCAATTTCCAAAAGTCAGACAGTATCTGATCAGTTTCCATTTGTATATTATTCACACAGATAGTAGGATTAATTTCTGTTGAATTATTCACACTACCTGAAATAATCCATCCTAGTTCAGAACGAGAGGTTATTGGTTTACCTTCTTCGCATTTAATTGTTTCCCCCTTCAAAAGAGGTAAAGCAATATCTACGCCTAAAAAGTATATCAACAGGCCCACTCTTGTAAAATGTTGGATCTGCTAACATTAAATCATTATATTCCTCAACGTACTTCTTATCTAATGTAAAATGCGGCAAGGTTCCAATAATTCTATTGATGATAAATACTGGTGTTTCAAATAACACTTTCGCTGGAAAACACGGGACGAAGTTTATTTCCGTAATTCCATTAGTTTTCGCATCCAAAGACCCTAAACATGAAATAAAAACTTTGGCATTTCTTCTTACTAACATTAGTCTCTGTACACAATCTTCTGAAATCAGGCTTGCTTGACTGCCAGGGTCAAGGAGGGCTCTACACAATTGGTATTCACCTGATGAATCTAACACTTTAATAACAGCTGTGCATAATAAAACTTCACACAGAAAATTAAAGTCTGAAACACAAGATTTAATTACTGGACTAGAACTTAAGATATTCTCCCCTGACCCAGGCGATTGAGTACGAAGTTCTGGCTCAGGGAAAAATGGCTTAGCCATCACTGATAATTTTTTTGAACTGTCCTTAACTCCTTTACGAGCTTTTGGTTCATTTTGAACTCTTTCGAAATGCAGTAGTGTGTGATGATTTTTAAAGCACTTTTTACATTTATGTGTACTTCTACACTCGAAAGTTTTATGATTTGAAACTAAACAATTAAAACATTTTTCTTGACAAAATTAACACATTCCTGAACATTCAGATTTAAAAACTTATTACATTTAAAAACTGAATGACCGGCTTTGCAATACATACACTACACGCGAACCTCTGAAGCCACTGAAGTTAATTTGTCTTAAGCATTGTAAATTCCATTATATAATAAGAAAGATATAGAAATACACTAACTCACCAATTTTACTGCAACTCCGTAGCTGATGAACCAAAAACATGTACGTTCCGTCATTTAAAAATAGTGGATTGTAAATTGACTTGCTATTTCCTCAGTGTAGAACCCAAGAAACTTCACAGTCATAATGTTGACCGAAATTTCTTTATTCGCTTTCAAACATTAAGTTGGCTGAGTAACAAGGAAGAACACATTGAAACCTCCGATTTCAGTAGCGGCTCACCGAGCATACTAACAAAAAGCTTTAAAATCCTAACAAATTTGCATCTGCGCCGCTCCTCGGTACAAAGAAAGAAATACAATTTGCATAACATCGAACAGATATATATATATTATACTTTTCTGGAGATTATGAGGGATATAAATTGAGATGACTTAAAAATTTGAGTTGATTTGTCTCTTGTAACTTGTTTTTTAACACATTGCAATTTACCTGCTTGCAAGGTTCTGGCATGAGATTTCAAGAAATCTAGCAGATCATTAAGTGTTGGTCATTCCTCACTCTTTAATGTTCTTTCCCACTATCCTCTCATCGAAGAATCTAATTTAAATTGCATTATTAACATTAAAATAGTATCCGCGAACTGCTCCACTTTGAATCCTAGATTTTCATATGAAATGCACATTCTCTTACGGTGTCTACTAATGCTAATAACTGACCAGGAATTTCAGATTGTAAATTTGATAAATAAAAGATTTTCTTTAATAATGATGAAAGTAATTGTCTCTTATGTGAAAATCTTTGACACAATAAATGCCACGCTATTTCGAAATTCTAGTCACAAATAGTTAAAGCTTGAACAATCCGCAAAGCATCTCCCTCTAAAGAACACCTTTAAATATTGTAGGTTTTGTGCACCCGATAAACGGTCATTATCCACTATCTCCATTTTAAATAAATCTAAAAATGATAACCATTCTTCAGCATTGCCACTAAATACAGGAAGAGTTAGCCTAGGTAAGCGTATACTCGCTATTTCACAAGATTTACTTTCCACACTAATATGTTTAACATTCTTAACTCTGGTTAGCGTTAAAATTAGCTCATCAACAGTATCTTGTATGACCTACTGCTCTTCTATAAAGACATTAATATCTTTTTCTTCACACACTACAAAAATATTACTAAAAATATCTGAAAGTTCAGTCATTACATTATTTAATCTAGATTTAAAAAGTTCTAACTGATCAACATCAGCAGGATCATAAGTCACTGTAAATTTCTCCTTTAGTTTACTGAATTTAGCTTTAGCTACATGCTTCTTAGTCTTAAGCATTGTAAATTCCATTATATAATAAGAAAGATATAGAAATACACTAACTCACCATTTTACGCAAACCGTAGCCAACGAACCAAAACAGTACGTTCCATTTAAAAACCAGTGGATTGTAAATTGACTTGCTATTCCTCAGTGTAGAACCCAAGAAACTTCACAGTCATGGTTGACCGAAATTTCTTTATTCGCTTTCAAACATTAAGGTTTGAGGCTAACAGGAAGAACACATTGAAACCTCCGATTTCAGGCGGCTCACCGAGCATACGAACAAAAAGCTTTAAAATCCTAACAATTTGCATCTGCGCCGCTCCTCGTAACAAAGAAAGAAATACAATTTGCAACATCGAACAATATATATATATTATACTTTTCTGGAGATTATGAGGGATATAAATTGGGATGACTTAAAAATCTTTATTCAGAAAAGAATTACTTTATTTACAAAAAAGCTGGTTTTTAGCAGTACTTTTATTTTTGATACAATTTTTTAAAAAGATTTCTAACAATAATGTTTCCATATTTAATAAACATTATTTTATGCCCTATTTGTGTGTCTGCTGACCAAAATTTCAATGATTCAAATATTGCCACTATGCAATAAATGAAGCAGATATAAACCCAACACATCTGTTTCACTTTAATGCTTTATAAGACTTCAAAACTTCCAGAATGATATAAAACCAAAAAACAAAACCATTAATGACTTTCAGTGTCATTAATACACTGAAAGTGATTGACACTGAAAGTGTAATTAATGAAATATTTTAAAATTTTTTACCTTGTTACATTATTTTTGATGTCATAACCCTGCCCTTTTGTGTGTTTGATGATACACATTGCTTTGAGTGCGAGCACTGTTTTGTATTTAATTTCATGCTTTCTTCTCTTTAGTAAGTTAATATGAATTACGTATACTGTTTACTTCAAACTTCTAGCAATCAAATTTTACTTGAAAACATCTTGCCAACATGTCTTGTCCACAAGTAAAAAAGTTGCCAAAAAGGATCATACTCTTATCTGCTCCATGATATTCACCATGAAATTATTTGAACCTATAACATGACATCTGGTGCAAAAGAATATATAAAAAATTTACTACAATTTAGAGTTTGTTTATAATGTATGTTTGTGATATGGAAAAATATAATACAGAAGCATTTCTGCTTATCTTGCCTTTTAACAATACATGGGAGAGATTTTCATGAGAGTTGACGTGCGATTTCTCTTGAAATTTGAAGGATTAAAAACTTAAAATTTTTCTATGCAATTATTTGTTAAATGTATACAACACCATATTTTTATCTTTTGAGCATTTTTTTAATAAATAATATCTATGAACTTTGAATAAACTCGTGAAAAAATACAGCATTTTTTTTAATTCACTATTTTTTATATAAAATTTTGCATTACATCATTTTTCATGGCAATTGCCTAAAAATATTTCTCATAAACATTTTGTTGTTTTGACAAAGTTCTCTCTAGAATTATGCAGAGTTTGAAAGAAATTGGTTTCTTAAGATTTTGCTCCTCCTGTAACATTCAGAATAGTAAAAGTGCAGTAATTAGAATGGAATAATAAGTGCATAATTAATTTCACCATTAATTCTCCTTTATATTAATTGATTTGTCAGTTTAAAAAAGATAACAAGCGAAAATGGAGGATCTGTATATTTTCTGGTTTTGATGGAAATGCCATTTGAAAGAATGGTTAAATAAAATAAATCATTAATTTGAGGTTCAAAAGAACTCCAATAGATCGAAGAACAGTTAAAATAGTTCCCTTTTTTTCCAAGAAATGCAGTTATGAATTAATTCATTCTCATCTTCAAAATGATGATTGAATTACAAATGATAAATTATATAAAGAATATCAGTAAAAGTAATATAAATATAAGATTAATTCCAAAAGTTTAACAACAACATGATTTGAAAACCTGGGTAATATTTAATTTGAAACGGCTATTGGATTTTTCAGGTATTGATTTGTTACACTAATTATACAGGAAAATACACACCTAGAACTATTTACTTACAATGAACATACACAAAATGTTCTGATAAATTAAAAATCCCCCCCTTAAAATAAGTAGAAGATCCAATGCCTTCATTGCATCTTCCAACATATGGCTAGAATAAAATTATGATTCTGCACTGAAATATTTTTTCACTGAAACAGTCTAGATTAAATTTTAAGCTTCACAAATTACTAAAATGTATTAAAATATGAATTCTTTATAAAATTAACAAGCACATCAAAGAAATTTCATGAATTACTCACTGAACATTTTCTATATTCCCATCTGCAAGTTTCACCAGAGCTAAAGCTCCAAACGAAGCACCAATTGCCTGCAAAAAGAAAATAGTAAATAATATGATATTTGCTGAAATTTATAGAAAAAATATATGAATAAAAAAACCTAAATGCTTAGAATAACAATTGCTATTTTGTTTTTAATGTCTTTAAGCCATTTTTAACAGTCGGAGAAAGAGTATAAAACCTCTAATAAAAAATAAAATAAAAAAAAAAAAAAAACTACACTATTATGACACATATTTTATATTATATACAGTAAGTATAATACATATTGTACTTAAGTTTTAAGACAGAACTCGGTTACAGTCGTACAACATATGGGAAATGACAACGTCACATTTCCCATTGCAGTTGGCCTATTCACAAATTTAAATATTTTTATGCATAAAAGGGCTGACTTATGACATACATTAGGTTTATACGTACACTGCTCAAAAAAAAAAAAAAAAAGAAAAAGGGGGGGACAGTTCTATATCTCTCGTTCTACTGGGCCGATTGACAAAATTCAAATTGTGTTCTTCATGTCTCGAAAGTGCGACTTGGGATATATATTAGATTTATATATAGCACTATTCTAACATATGTATTTTGACCCAAAATCGGACTTTTTCTGAAATAACATACCAATTTTTTTACATATTTCGATTCTACAACTCAAATTACGCCTAAATATGAAATTTTGTAAAATTTGGAGCAAAATTTACGGAGAAATTCACAAATTTATGTTGGCATTTTTTTTCAGTTTGCGCCAAGAATAGTTCACTTGGCGAACATCATAATATATGGCAACCTAGTTTCCTTTCACGTGAGAGGGAAAAAAGTCACCATCGTTCCTTTTTTCCAAATAATATTCTTTTTATTATATTTTTAATTATAACTGTTATTATTTTAAGTAATTTTTTCTTTTTCAAATTTCATTTTAATTGTTTAACTTGCATGGTTTTTTTCGAATAGCTGTTTTAAAAATTTCTATTTACCTATTCGAACTGCGTAAATAAAGATGCAGCGTTTATTTTTTTTCAAATAGTTTTCTTTACATATATATTTTTGTCATAGTTATTATTTTAGGTAATTTTTAAATTTTTATACTTTTAATTGTTTCTGTTGCATTGTCTCTTCAGAAAATTGTTTTAAAATTTTCTATTTATTCCTTCGAACTGAGCATTTTAAATATATACATTACTATAAATTTTCCAGAATTTGATTTTATTTATTTGAATTGCATTTCTTTCAGAAGAATACTTTGCAACGCAGACTACGATGCGTTTGAAAACTGCATATATTAAAAGAGAAAATACAGTAAAGCACAGTTAACACGTCTTTCAATGTTCTGTTCAGAAAAGATATATATAAATAAGAGAGATGTATAACCGACATTTTAACTTAGGATGACTTGCATACACTGCTTTAAACATTTTTATCATTGTGCATATTGCTTTACAGAATTTTATCCTACATTTGGTTTCTTAAAATGTTATTCATATTTTAGTCAAATATTTTATTTTTGAAATCCCAAGAATCAAATATCATAAGATTAAACGGTTTTAAATTTAAAAAAAAAAATACAAATACTAAATTTTATGAAAAAATTTATTTTTTCTTCTCTTTTTATTCAGGCATTCTACTTTATGCGTGCTCTTTTTCTTTAGGCATTCTGCAAGTATATTAAAAAGAATCTAACTTTTCGAAATACCTTGGTATTTCTGACAATCATTTTAAATAAAGTTATCGCCTTCCATTTCATAAAGGCCCACAAACGGCAGAGCGGTAAAGTCGCTGAACACTGGTAGTTCACTCCGGGTTTCGAATCCCAGTAAACAGGCTGGTTGCATGGGCATTTTCGTGGATTTTCTCATGTGTGCCGTGTATGACAGCTGGTTTACCTAAGAAAGTTCTTCACGACGTATTTGGTCAGAGCTTTTGTCAGTCTTTAGAGGCTAAATATTTTGAAGGTATGAGAAGAAAGGAAAGACTGGTTTCCTCAAGAGGTTTTGGTTTATTTAATTATGACAAAGCACACTAGGGCTATCTGTCGAAGGGGAGGGATGCCTTCGTGGAGGACTTTCTAAGGGAAACTGGCTCGCATACATCTTACACACGGGGAAAACCAGGAAAACTCGCATGCAGCCAGCCCGTTCGCAGGATTCGAACCTTGGAACGAACTACCAGTGTTCAGTGACTTTACCGCTCAACTGCTGTTTCATCAGGAGGAAAAAAAAAACATCTTTAGGTGACATCCACACACATCACTGGATAAACTCCTGAATCTTCAAATAATTCGACTGAGAAAATCATGGGATTCTCCATTTATGATATGATGTTCTATAACGTAATTTAAATTTACACAACCATATAGTCTAAAACCAGTCGCTCTTCACTTTAATCTGCAATGATATTATTTTTGTCTTTTCTGTTAACACAAGCTCAATTGATGGACTTTGCTGGTGTACACATTTAAGTGTTTTCCCTTTGAACACCTAAATTCTTTGAAGTATCCTGAAAGTATATTCAAAAGCGTCCAACTTTTTTAACCCCTTCGCGCCGACTGTCACGTATACGTGACAACAACGAACGCACTTACCTACCGGCCGACACGCAGGCGTGCCAGAGGATTGTTCCATTCTCTACCGACTGTCACGTATTTGTGCCAGTACTTTGGAACGTTTTTCAAACTATAATTTCTGCCACAAGATGGCACTGTATGCCCATATGGTTTCAGATACATGTAAATTAGACCTTCTACTCGAAATGAGAGAAGCATGACTCACACGTGTTTTTGATTATATAAACAAAAGGGGAAATAAATGTTTCCGAATGGCGTGATTTATGACGTCTCTTTAAATCGCACTTTATTCGCACGTGGTAGTTGTTTACTGTAAGTAGAGAAGTTTTATTTGCTTTAAAGCGTTGGGTATTTCGGTTTGCAGTTCAGTTTTTAGAAAATAATTAGATCTTGTTAGACGTGAATTCTTTGTTTTTACCGTTGCAATGTCGAAGCGTCGAAAATGTTTAACAGAGAATGAAATAGCAGAAAAGATGCAAAATATTTCAGATATTGATTCTGAAAGATTAACTAAAAGACATTTTCCAAAACTTTGTTCAGAAGAGAATGATAAGAAAATGAGACGACGATGCTTCGTTTGTTCACATTCCCGGAAAAATCCTCCAAAACGGCAAATGAGTTATTACGAGTGCAAGGAATGTAATGTAGGACTGTGTGCAGATCCCTGTTTTCAAATTTTTCATACGAAAAGAGAATTTTAAGTAATATATTTAGTTTTCAGATGTATAATGTTAAAATTCATAAATGGTGAGTAATTAAAATAAAATGTGTAAAATATGCATTTAAACAAGAAATAAGGTAGTTAAAGTATATATATAAAAATATTTATAAAGCATAAGTTGTTTAAATACTCTATAGAGCGGAAATTTCATGGATTTTAGGCTTAGTAGCAAAAAAGCCCCTGGCCCTGGAGAGATGCTCGCGTAAGACACTGCCGGCCTCAGCGATAAGCGCGCGTTTTCGCTACCCGGCTCGAAGGGGTTAAACATCTTGGTATGTCTGACAGCCAAATTTCCCTGCAAATTTTTGCTTACTTTTCTCCCTAATTTTCTTCTTTCATTCTACAGTTATTTTCAGTGCTCATACAAGAAAATTAAGATTTTTTGATTGCTAGACTTCCATAAATTTTGCATTCTTGTTAATTTTTTAAAATATCAATTACATAAATTGCGTTTCAGCTGAAGACAGCTTTTCATTTTCTAGTCATTTTAACCATAAATAAAGTTTAAAGCGAAGTCCAAAGGATAAATATTTTAATTAAAAGATTTTTGCTAAATGACAAAGAAATAAAACAGTCCAGTAGGGTTTATTCTATACCACCGAGTAACCTGATTCTTATATCGGCTGAAACAATCTAAATAATATTAAAGATCATGTTTTTTTCTACAATGTATAAGGCGAGAAAAAAATTAACTTCTTAAAATATTCTTTCTAAGAGAATTAATATAAAAGATTATATTTATATATATATTTTTTTAAAGCTGGGACTTGAACCAAATTGTCAAACTTTTAAAGTTTAATTTACATGGTGGTTATAATTAAAGTTCCAAATTGAAATGGTTATAAAAGGAAAACTACCTGACCAAATGTTATCAAACTTCGGAATCGTGTAAAGGAGGTTATGGGAATTTATTTTCCGCGGGGAAAAAAAAAAAAAAGAGTTTAAAAACTCACCACAAGGGGGAAAATGGCACTGTATACAATATTGTTAAATGAAATAAGACATGAAAACATCTGTTTAAAATGTGTTTAATAGTTTCCGAAACGTGTTACAAAGCATGTTCAATGTAGCATCCAGCATTTCCAAAAGCAAGTTAAATCCTGTTACTGCATTCTCAACAGCAGCTAGCTCTTAGCATATCAGGAGGAATGTTACGGACATGTCAGTGTATCACATTTTTCATTTCTGCCAAATTGTTTAGATTATCATCATAAACAGTGCTTTTGAGATAACCCCATACGCAAAAGTCACAGAGGTTGAGATCTGGTGGGAAGAGGGGAAGTGTCGGCCTGTAAGACGTTCATTCATGAAATGTTGCCTAATTAACTGTGTGACACACGTGAGGTGGGGCCCAGCCCTGCATAAAAATCGTAGTATCTAAAATGCCACGTTACTGCAGTTCATGTATCACGAAACATTTTAACATTGACTCTTATGTGAGCTGCAATCACAGTGGTCCAGCTGTTGACTCCTCTTCAGAGAAAAATGGTTCGGTTATAAAACTAGCTGTCATTTAACACTAAACAGTGTGGAATGACTGCTATGCAAACGAATGCAATGGAACTAGATAGATAACATGAGACATTGCTTTGGCCCAAATCGATTAAAAGCGTTTTGAATCAGTATCTTCATGTTTTAGGGCCGAACTCAGGCTTCAAAAATTACAAATTAGCGATCTGTAAGAAAACGATTTCCAGATTGTACGCACTTGTGCGAGTGATTTGCGATCTCACATTTTCAAATCGCTA